TAAAGGAACACTGTCATAGTTAATTGTATATGTCAACTTGTTTGGGTCACATGTCAGTGACAAATGATTAAATATTATTTTGGGTTTGTCGGTGGCAATGTTTTCAAACAGGATTAGTATTTGAATTGGTAGAATGGGTAAGGTAGTTGTTTTCCCCCTTATCGGTAGGCATCACCCAATTTGTTGAGGACCTGAATAGAACAAAAAGGAAAAGGAGGTTGAGTTCCCTCTCTACTTGCAATGAGACAACAATCCTCTCCTTCTTGCACTATAGCTAATTTTCAGGCCTTCATATTTATACTGGCGTCTATAGACTGGCATTTATACACCATCAGCTCTCCCACCTTTGAACTGTGCCACCAGGTATCCTTCTACAGCGTTGAGTCCGCAGATTGAGGGGCTTATCAATATGTGTGTGTGCGGAGAGAGAGACATCAATAAGAGATGGAATAGTATACAGGTAACCAACTATTACATTTAGAAAATCTTCCCTTCTCGGACTCATTTTAATTTCAAGCTAAAGATAATTTTTGGTGGGGCTACATTAATAATTTCCCTGCCCTCTCTCTCTTTATATATACATATATATACACATATATATATATATGTGTATATATATGTATATAAGATAGAGGATAGATGATAGATAGATAGATAGATAGATAGATAGATAGATAGATAGATAGATAGATAGATAGATATCTGTCCCTCTGGAAGGTATTTCTCTGGAAAACCCTACCTAAAATAACTTATCAGATATGGACAATTTGTAACTTATTCTATAAAATAGCTGAGCATATGACCCTGAAGTAATAAAAGCTGAAAGAGCACTTTACCTTTTCCTACATTGAGAAAGACTTTAGATAATGTAGATCATTTTTAAGAGATAAAGTCTCAGTCTGGAATTGCTGTAAATATATTAAACATTGATGTGCCCCTACATTAATTAAACCACACTGCTTATTAATTTGTTACAGTAGTACCTCTGACAGGTGCAAGCATTTGAGGACTAAAGTGTACAAACTGATCTAGTTTGAGGCTTACAGCAGAGAAAGAAAATTGAAGCAAACCTCTAATAAATGATAACATCTATTATGTGTCTCTGACATTCTCTCTAAGACTTTGAAACAGGACATAGTGGGATTGTAATGTTACCATCTTCATTCAAAACTCAGTCAAGGGCCTCCCCTGTGGCGCAGCGGTTGAGTGCTGGGTTGTGAAGCTGCCCGCAGCCTCTGCAGCGCTGGTTCGATCCCCGGCTGCTCCCCGGCCACCGGAGGAGGGTCCCACATGGCGCGCAGACCTCTCCTGCCGCCCGCTGCTCCCCTCAGCAGTGTACTTCGGTCCCTCTGCCTGCTCTGCTCCTCGCTCTGGCTCTGGTGAATTCTCTCACCCTCCCGCGCTTCTGACTGTACCCCCAGTGCTTGTATAAATAAATAAATAATTAAAAAAAAAAAAAAAAAAAAAAAAAACTCAGTCAAGAAACTACTTATTCCTCAGTGCAACCAACTTATGGTTTTCCTCTATTGTATACGTGCTAACATTATTAAAAATCCCCCACTTTTGTAAATTCCTTTTGGAAATGTCAAAGGCAATTCAAATCCATGAAAAGATAAGAAGTATTGTTGCCAAGTAAAGTTTTGACTGTAAGAAAAGTAAGGGCCATCTGGGATCTTGGCATCAAATCTGGTTTGCTACTCTTAGAACACTATAACCCCTGGGCATCGACTGATATCAAAGATGCTGCCAGCATCCTCAGATAATTCTTGCCTACTGGCTTAAAAGTCACCAATTAAATCTTGGTCAAGAGAATTTTCTTGTAAACAGAAAATCGATGGCTTAGTAGCAAAAAAGTACAGAGATTTGGGTAAAATTCAGGCATAAATTTCACTTTTCTGAAAAGAAAGAAAAACTGTTCAACTTGCAGAACATTTTGACAAGTTAAGGATACAGTATTAATTGCTCAGACTATTTAATAGATAATTTGATTCATATGGATATAATAAATTTAATTATTCAAGGTCATCCATTCAGCCACCTGAAAGTGCCACCTAAGGTTGCTATTTAACCATCTGCTGTTCTACAATGAATTATTATTGATGGACTCTGGGCCAGAGGGAGTGCTTCTTAGTGGGGAAACTCCTTTGACTTTCTACAGGTAAAAACTGGCACATGGGAGCAAGGTCAAATTTTACCAAAGGTTCATTATTCTTAGATAATTTTAAAGTTGATTTATGGATTTCTCTTCCTTTACTACATCTCAGGCTACTGATAATCAGAAACATGTTGAAAGCCAGTGGGTAAAGGAAATGCATCATGTGCATTTTCTCAGTGAGTCCTGTAGCAGAACTGTTGACCATCAATGCATATGTATCAATATCCAACAATGGAAATTTTTCCAACTTTTATTTTATATTTGTTACACTTGTAAATTAAAATTTGTATCATCATTATCAAAAAGAGCAATTAGGATCAAATGGATGTAAAAATTGAAATACATATTTGCCAGTACAAATATGTACTGGCATTCAAAAGCTTTTTTTTAAAAAATACACTGATCTAAAAAAAAAGTGCTTTAAAGAAGAACTGAGCTTTATTTTTAATTTGACTTTTCCATTTAGATAAGCTCAAATGAAAGCAATAGTTGTCAATACACATGAAGAATATCAATTTCGGGCTTGATAAAATAAATGGCATGTGAATGTTTCCTCTACTTGGAAAACTTGTACACTCTTGTTTAAATTCATTATTTTATGCAGATTTCAAATTAATCATTAATTTCTAGGAAAAATCTCCTCGCTTCTTTCATTCAGGCAAAGGTGTATGTATATGCTACGTTTTTACATGACAAAATACCATTCCTTTATAGCACTTATCCTGAAAACAATTTTTTTAATTTGTAGAATTTTTTATACTAGTATGTTCCTCTACCAGTCTGCATCTTCTGTGAGAGCAAGGACTCTGCCCATTTCTTTACCGCTGTTTCCCTCCCAGGCCTTCAAAAATGCCTGCACAAAATGGAAATCTGTTAAATCTTGAAAGAATGAATAAATCTCACTAAATTGAAAGCTTCCTGAATCTGAGCAAAAATGAGACATAGCTCTATGGTGGAGACTAACACTTAACACACAGAAAGATAAAGACTATGACCTTCAAGCTCCATGGATTTGCTGAGGTTTTACAGAGTTTGAAAGAAACAGAGACAGACACAGGACATTTGCAGAACATTTTTAGAGGAGAAATTTTGTTGAGCCCTTAAAATGAGATCCATTGTTATAGTCACATAATTCACAACACACACACATATTATTTGTAAGTATTATCCTTTGTTATATATAATATACTGCATATTATTTTATATTCATATAAACATGATATAAGAATTACATGAAATACCACATATATGATATTTAAAGTATATAACATATGTTATGCACAGACATACATGTATGTATCCATCATTCTATGCACATGTAAAGAAACAGGTTGTGTGCGGTATATCATTATTTTTGCATGTATGTTCTAAGCACCCCATGAAATACAGTGTTATGCATACAGTCATCCCAAGATGCTCCTGCTTATGACATATTCCACTTCAGTGACTCCTAAGGACATGGCAGTTTCCCAGGTTTTTCATAAGAGGCATCAAAATTTGAAAAATATACTTTTAGTCAATAGCAAAATGTTAATTTTTTTCCTAAGATGTTAAGAATAAAAACTTGTTATCCAAGTTAGTCAACATGAACAGATTTTGCTAAGATATAAACAAACGCTTTTCTAGTAAGCTTTAATTTTTGCTTAAATTGGATCCATGAAACATCTAATAAATAAAGGGCCAAGATGGGAAATATCACAAACAACTAATTACTTTGATAATTTGGCTGGTAAAAGCATGATTTTTACTGTATTACAAACAGTAGTTGATTTAGTCAGCTGGGCTTCTTACACTGTGTTCAAGATGCTCACTTGCTGGGGTACTATAATGACTCAGATAGGATTTCAAAACATCCCATGACCTCAATGTCCCCCTGCACCATTGCAGAGGAGCCCATGTTTTGATACCTGCTTAATCTACAGGTTAAGGTAACTGCCACCTTCTTAAACACCCACCTCATCCTGATCTGACTCATACACAGCTGCTATTAAGAGCAACTTCAGATCATTACTAACTCTCTGGCTGCTTAATCATCCAAGTTCAACATTTGGATGGAGAATTCAAGTGACATTCTAAAGTTTATTTAATTGCTAATAATAGAAAATACACCTCAAGGAGAAATCCTGGAGTTGTAGGAATAAATAATTATTCCTCTTTACTCCCAGCCCATGAGAGTTGATTCAGTTACTTTCAATAGTTTCTCCATCAGCACAGGATTCTCAATTTTGGTTTCTAGCTGACTATTCTGGCCATATTGAGTGTACAATATTAAGTATGAGGACCCTACAGATCTAATATCAGACTATTATGTTTTTATTAGGTATAACAAAAGATAGGGTAGTTGTGATGAACTGATCAATGCCAGCCTTAAAAACTCTTAGGTAATTTCCACTTATTTAATATACTTCTATACAAAAGCATTTAAATTGTTATAAGATTGCTCAGGATCTTAAAACATATACATTTTTGTACATGTATAATAATTTTCTATATTACTATATAAAATATTATCTAATATGTTAATGTTTATTTAAAATACCTGTTATTATTTTACTAAAAAGAGTAATATACATAGTAGGACTAATAAAAATAATAGTAACAACAGTAAGATTTAATATTAACAGGCATTTACCTGTATATTTACATGCTTCTAATTTTATTTAATGGCATTGACATAAAATAATAATGTGTCACTTATGTGATATTATTACTCACTCATTCAGTCAAGGTAGATGAACTACCAAAACATGCAACCATATGAGTTCTGAGACTTAGGAAATAAATGCTTATCTGCATTTGCCCAAGGCTCCAAGGTGAGCCTTCCCTTTTGTGAACTCACCTCGCAAGTTCTTGGAGCATCTTGCAGTTATTCAACAAAGAGACAGGTCATGGACACAGGAGCATGGGGCAGGACATAGCAGAATGAGCTCAAAATATGATCATCATCACTTCCATTCATAGTCTGTGAAACAGAAGATAGTCATAACTACTTCTTTCCCAAGGATAGCAGGAGGAAAGTGAAATATTTTTGGTGAACACATGATAGTCTCTGCCAGGTTCATACATATCAGGGAATAAAATAAGAATTAGAAAATGATATAAGCTTTCCCAACCAAACAAGTAATTGAGATTCAAGGCATTATTTAGAGTTGGGTGTGATATTTCCAGCACGAAGTAACTGTAAGTAATCCTATAATGGGAAAAGAAAAAGTGAATAAATGTATGAATCAACTGATTGCAGACACTCATCAACATGCTGGAACGAAGTGTAAGACCTTGGAAGAGACAAAAAAAAAGTGAAGTTAGCCTACAATCACTTTGGCTTTCTGGGGTCACTTTCCAGACCATAGTATAAGGATAAGGCAACCAAGCAGAACATAGAAAATTACTCAGTTCACTAGACAGAGATTGGAGTTTGAGGAGTTCGAAGCAGCTGATATTTGTGATCAGAGCACCAAAGAACAGAGACCTATGCAGAGAAAAAGCATAAATCTACAAGACTCCCTTTGTGCCTGTTGTTGAATGCTAAACTATGTGTATCTTGAATGACTCTCCACTGCTGGGCAAAAAAGAACTGAAAAGCTATAAACTAAAACATTATCATATTTCAGTTAGGCCTGGGAGAATTTAAGTTCCAAACTGCCAAGAGAGGAAGTCTCTGTTGAACATTCAAGTCATTATGCAAAAAGTACAGAAGATCAAGACTTTTTGGTGGGGCCAAGTCAGCACTAAAGATCTGCTCTAATGAAGCAAATAAACAAGTTTTTAAAGGATTCAGATGTTTTGCAGTAACTTATTGTCAGATGGAGTGCATTAATCAATGAAGAAAACAAGAAAATACAGTTCTCAACATTGTAATATTCACAATTTCCACCATTTCCTATAAAAGAATGATGTGAAGAAGTGGGGAGCAAATGAGCTTTAGCCAGGAGGAAAATCAGTCAATAGAACAGACCCAGAAATGACTGAGATGGGGCCTCCCTGCTGGCGCAAAGGGTTAAGACACAACCTATGAAGCGATTCCGCTGCCACTGTTGTACAAGTTCGATCACCAGCCAGGGAGCTGCCCACATGGTGCAGCAGACCTCTCCTGGCTCACCCATTGCTCCCCTCAGCAGTGTATTTCAGTGGATCTGCCTGTTCTGTTCCCCACTCTCTCTGGTGAGTCCTCTCACCCCCCACTCCTCTGGCCTGTACCCCAGTTTTTGTATGCATAAATAAATAAATATTTAAAAAATAGAAATCACTGAGATGGTATAATCAGCCAACAATTTATAATAACCAAGTATATAAAAGAAAAGATGAACAGAATGAGGAGATGAATGGAAGCCAAAAAGTAGAACCTAATGGAATTTCTGAAACTGAAACATTCATTAATGAGTGGATGGGATTGATAAATTTGGATACTTAACAACAACAACAAAAGACCAGAAAACTTTGAATCTATATTGAATCTATACCAATGCTGGTTCAAAAAAAAAAAAAAAAAAAAAAGAAAGAAATAGAGAGCTATGATACATTTTGTTAGCATCAAGAAAACTGTGAACTTGACAAGTTATGTGCAAAAATATATGAATTTCATGATGAGATAAAAATGTGATTGTATTCCATTATATAAGATCTATTGATAGCATTTTGACATATTTTTAAAAGTATCATGTATCTCCTTTTGCATATAATTTATCCAATTTATATTATCATATTAAGAGTGATAATATAAGGGGTATTATGTAGTAGGCTATATTCACAATTCATAAATTGTTCCATATGATAGAGAGGGCATTACTAATTTTTCCTTCTTCTGAATGGCATCTTCATCCTAATAGTCAGTTGCCCAAAAAATGTGAATCATTCTTGACTTACTACTTTCATTCCTGAGTTCTGAGTCACATAATTCTATCACCAAGTTTGGTAATTTTCCTCCTTAAAATCTCTCCAATTTTGCTCCCAAACTATAATGTTCAGAATTGCTCAAAAGAGGTAAAAGTTGGTTTATTTGACTCAGCTTTCCTTTTCTAGGTAGCACTCTGAAGATTGACCAATATTAGTACAAGTTTGGTCATGGAAACCTTACTTCAATCCCTTCAGTGGCTCACCATTAGTCCAAATATGAAACATAGTCTCTTTTTTTGAATTCCCTTGCTCTTGGAAGCATGCATTTTTTTAGATCAACACTCTGGAGTGTATCATCTATGTTTTCTTCTATGAATTTTAGGGTTTCATGACATATCAAGTCTTTAATCCATCTGGAATTAATTTTTGGGTGTAGCATTAAATCTAGTTCCTTTCTTTCTTCCTCTCTCCCTCTTTCTCTTCCCCTCTCCCTTCTTTTCTTCCTTCCTTTTTTTTTTTCCACATGGCTTTCCAGGTTTCACTACACCATTTGTTCAAGAGCCTTTCATTCCTTTATTGTGTGGCCTTAGCTCCTTTGTCATAAATAAACTACATACATATATGATTTATTTCTGGGCTTTCAATTCTATTTCATTGGTCATTTTTTTTCCCTCCAGTACCAAACAATCCTGACAGTCAACACTTTGTAGTATAACATGAAGTCAGGATGCATAATAACTTCATTTTCCTCTTTTCTCTCTGAAGTGCTTTGGCTACTTGGGGTTGTTACATACAAATTTTAGAATTGATTTTTCTATATCCTACAAAAACATCAATGGTATTTTGCTGAATACTTAAATCACCAAACTGAAAGTCAATAGAAGGAAGGAAATAATAAACATTAGATTAGAAGTAATGAAATAGAAAAAAAAAATGATAAAAAGATCAAGGGAACCAAAAACCAGTTCTTTGAAAATTGATAAACCCTTGGCTAAGCTCACTAAGAAAAAAAAAAAACATTAAAAAACTCTAATAAAAATAACAGGCAAAATTATAATGAATACCACAGAAATATAGAACAGTCATACAGAAAAAAATCAGACAACTTAGAAGAAAAAAAATGAGGAATATTCAGAGGTATATAATTTTCTAAGCCTGAATCAGTAAGAAATAGAAATAGAAAATTGAAATGGGAATCAAAAGTTTCCCCAATAACAAAAGCTCAGGACCAAATGGCTTTTCCAAAATATTCTACCAAATGATTAAAGAAGATCCTTCTTAAGCTCTTCTGAACAAAAGACTGGAGGGGGAAGCATCCAAACACATTTTGCAAGGCCAACACTATCCTGATCCCAAAACCAGAGAGAACGGCACACCAAAAAAGAGAAATATAGATCAAAACCTCTGATGAACATTTATGCAAAAATCCACAACAAAATCCTGGCAAATCAAATCAAGCAGTACATTTTAAAAATCATACATCATGACCAACTGGGATTCATTCCAGAAATGCAAGTACGATAAATATTTGCAAATAAATTAATGTAACACACCAAATCAACAAAAAGAAATAAAAATCACATGATTATGTCAGTACTGAAAAAAATATTTGAAAAGATCCAAAATCCAATAATTATATGAACTCAATAAATTAAGAATAGAAGGAACATATCTCAACATAATAGCGGCCATATATAAGAAACCAACAGTTAACATCATACTTAGTGGCAAAAACTTGAAAGTTTTTCCCTTCTGATCAGGAACAAAACAAAAATGTCCACTTTCACCACTACTGTTCAACATAGTATTGGAAGTCCTAGCCAAAGTAATTAGGTTTAAAAAGTATATGAAATGAATCCAAATTGTAAAATAAGTAAAACTGTCACAATTTGCAGATGACCTCATAATACACATACACACACGTAACCCTAAAATCCTCACAAAAATATTAGAAATAATAAATACAGTAAAATGGCAGGGTACAAATCAATAAACAAAAATCTATTGCATTTCTATACAAAAGTAATAAATTATAACAAAGAAAAATTAAGAAAACAATCCCATTTTTAATCATGTGAAAGATGCTAAAATACCTTGGAGTACATTTAACAAGTGAGGTGACTTATTGAAAACTATAAGACATTATTAAAAGAAATAGAAGAATATACAAAGAAATGGAAATCTATTCCATGTTCATGAATTGTAGGAACATTATTTTTTAAATTTTATTTTATTAAAATATTTGTTATTTTTTACTGTCATAACATAGATTTACAATAATGAATGTGATTTAGAGAGATATGTTCTCACATTTTCAGATATATGTTACATAACACATCCACATTATGAAATCCTCCATAATCCTCCACCAAAGTCCTTAAGAACTCCTCCTCACTTTGCTCCCCATCTTCTAACTGTCCACTCTGGTAACCATAATTCTATAGTGATATTTCTAGGGTTTGTGTTGATTTAGTTTTGCCTGCTCCCTTACTTATATTTATTTATATTTATTTCACTGATATTTGAGTGAAATCTTCTGATATTTGTTTTTCTCCTGATTTATTCTGTTTAGCACAATCCCTTCTAGTCCTATCCATATTACAGCAAATAGCAAGATTTCATCCTTTTTTATAGCTCAATAGTACTCCATCATGTATATATACACTATACACTATGTTTTCTTTTATTTTTAAAAGATTTACTTTTTATTTATTTATGCATACAAGAACTGGGATGTAGGCCAGAGGTTTGGGGGGTGAGAGAATGCACCAGAGACAGAGTGGTGGGCAGAACAAGCAGATCTACTGATATACACTGCTTAAGGGAGTAATGAGCAAAACAGTAGAGGTCTGCTGCATCATGTGGGTTAGCTCGCTGGCTGGGGATCGAACTCATGCCAAAATGGCTGGCAATAGTTTGATAGTGCTGAGACTTTAACCCCTGCGCCACCAGGAATTATAACCCCTATACTATTTCTTCTAAATATACTCCTCTGTCCTTGAACACTTACATTGTTCTCATAACTTCGGTATTGTAAACAATGCTGCAATAAACATAGGAGTGCATATACTGAATAATTAGTCTTTTGCATTCTCTGGTGCATTCAAGTGGAACTCCTGTGTCATATGA